GTGTGCAAAATCCATGCTTTTCAAAGAAAGTCCAAGATTTCTTTTCATATTTTCTTTGATGACCCAGGTTAAGTATTATGCCTGGTAGGTTGTTTCTTCTTATCTGCTCGTATCTGTTCTTGGACATCTTACCTCTACTTTTGTACCCAGTATCCTGTGTTGCTAAGGTCAAGTTTGGCCTTCACAGCCTGGGTCCAAAGATTGTATTACTTCAGCCAGTAGACTCTCCAAAGCAGAGTTTTAATATTCCATGAGGTATTCAGTATTTTTTAGTTTAAATAACTGAATCAAGCACACTAAGATAACCTGGCACACACAGCAGGATTCCACATACGTATCACCACCACTACTATAATGTGGAAAGATAAATTTCAGTTTTTATGGCTTTCTATTTTTAAATATATTTATGCGTCTGTATTCCACAACTAAAGACATAAATAAACATAAACATTCCCCTGTTGTTTCAGTTTGAACTCATCAGCTGCTCCGTGGGAGAAAAATAGGCAGTCTAATCTCGTAAAGATTACAGCCTGTGAAACCCTATGGGGCCGTTCTACTCTGTCATGCAGGGTCACTGTGAATCAGAATTGACTTGACGGCACACAGCAACAACAACAATGGTTTCCAAAATTTGTCCACTTCAAACCCAAAAATGTTTACATAACTCTCAAATTACTTTCTTAGGCACTAGTGATAGCCATGTTTAGTCCTTCTGAAGTTGCTAGCAAAAAACATACTCTGACACGGTATGAGCAGCTTCCTCCTGGCAACCCGGACACTAAACCATACAGCTTTGTTCTCTCCTGAAATCCAAGACTTGACCCAGCAAGCCAGAAGGCCTAGGAGCCTTTTCTGTTCCTTCCCACTGAAGCCATGGCAGATCCCAGTGGTGCCTGAACACTCATCACCTGGAGGTGCTCCTCTTAGCCCTGAACAAAATCTTGTAGTGCAAGGCAGATACCAGTGAGGGGAAGAAGAGTTCCTGCTTCTTGCGTACTTGCTCTGCACCAGACACTGTGCTTTATACACATTTTCTTGTCCTTATGGAAGTCCTAGTGTTGTCTTTATTGTTGTTGTTAGTAGCGGCTGTTGTTGTTGTAACAGTATTGTCATCATCACCCCCATTTTGCAGATGAGAAAACTGAGGGTCAGAGAGGTTAAGTTACTTACTGAGGGCCACAAACGAGAAGTTGCAGAGTCAGAATATGAACCCAGGCATGTCTGATTTCCAGTGTCCCAGAGTGACTTCTCAAATCTTAAGGGAGAATGTGAATCTGTACCTGCTGACCTGGGGCTTCACTCTGGCCAGACGTTACCTCTCATTTGGGAACGATACAGACTTTTGCCTCTATTACGTGTTCAGTTCCCCCTTGCCTTGCCTGCAGTAGGACACCCAGGTGTGGAATGTGCTAACTAGCCTTCTCGAGGCACCTACCAAGGGCAAAGATGCCCACCCACAAGCCTGAGAGTTAGAGCTGGAATCAATGGCCTTGGAAATCAGTCAGTCAAACCCCTTTGTTTACAGATAAGGTCCTGAAGCCCAGAAAAAGGAGGGGACTTGCCTACGGTGGCAGCTTGGTAGTGGCAGAACAAGGCCTAGGACCCATGTCTCCTGATGCTCTGCCCAATGTCCTCTCCAGAGTGCAGTACCAAGAAAAGACCTTGCTATAAGAAAAAAGCTGAGGGGTGTGATCCTGGTATAAAAAACAGTATATAGATTGGATATGGTTTTGGTTTTAAAATGTCTATATTCATGTTCTTGAATAGCTAGCTAGTTGGTAAATTTTGCCTAGACTAAAGAATGGGATAGCATGGGAGCTAACAGGGCACTAAGTTAAGACTTCAGGCTGGTGTGGGAAGCCAGAGAGCGATCAAAAAAGGGAGGAGGGCTGAGAATGCGGAAGGCATAGAGAAGAATGGTAAACATTCTTTTGCCATTTGGCTCAACACCAGCCATGGGTCTCATGGCCTCTCAGAGACTACTTATCTCTTCTCCCTTGGCCCAGCATTTTACAATGTTGTTTTCAATGTGGCTGTCTTTCTCCATTGATTTCATTTGCTTTTTTTGTGTGTATGTTTAAATTATGTCGCAGAAAAAATCGAGCTCCCAAACAGCACCAGCATGGAAGTTGAGATGACGCCACCCAGTGGAGCTTCGGAGCCTGTACAAAATGGAAACATCTCCCATAGCATTGAAGCTGCGGAAGCCCAGGTACTGCCTTTTCCCACTGCTCTTCGGGGCTACTGTTCGGATGGACGTCCTAGCCTAGCAGCACAGAACCCTACATTCTCCCTAGAGTCCCTGACACCAGGCAAGGGCTTAGTCATCCTTGCGTGTTTCCAAATACCAGCCCGGGGGCCCTCATGCATCAAGCTCTACGTTTATTGAATGAATACGCACATTCTCTAAGTCACTATTTCTCAGGGTGAGGTTGAAGGACTTTTGGGGACAAAAACACAGATTCCTGCAGCATACCCTAGACCTGATGAAACAGAATCTCTGGAAAGCAGGACCCAGGAATCAGCATTTTAAATTAGCTTCCCAGGTGACTCTTAATGCATGAGAAAGTTTGATAACTGCTGCAGTTTAATCCTTTCTTTATGTATTTAAGGTCAGAGTTAAATAACAGGAAAGCACAGCCATTACACCTTGACGAGTCCCCTTTGACCTTCCCTGTCACTGCAGTTGAAATTGATCAACACTCTCTGGCCCAACCCAAAGTTCACTTGTGCAACCAGCAGACAGCTCATTCATCTAACAGTTATCACTGTAACTGTTTATCTGTTTATAACTGTTCATGTTGTTGTTAGATGTTGTCAAGTAGGCACAGACTCATGGCAACCCCATGAACGATGGAATGAAATGCTGCCTAATCTTGCACCATCCTCATAATCTGTTGCGGATCAGATCGTTGTGGTCCATAAAATTTCCACTGCCAGATTTTTAGAAGTAGATTGCTAGGCCTTCCTTCCTGATTTCTTAGTCTGAAAGCTCCAGTATAAACCTGTTCAGCATCATAGCAACATACAAGCATCCACTGACAGTCGGGTGGTGGCTGAACACGAGGTGCACTGGCCAAGAATCAAACACAGGTCTCCCATACGGAAGGCAAGAATTCTGTCAGGGAACCACCACTGCCCCATTATTACCATTTATCAAGCACCTAATATGTGTCACAAATATACTGCTAGGCACTTTCCATATATTATCACCTTTACAGCCCTCAGCCCCATTTTGTTGTTGAGGAAGCTGAAACTCAAGGAAATGAAGTAGTTGCTCCAGATCACCTAGCTCAGAGATGGTAGAGCTGAGATTCAATCTCAGGACTGTCTAAATACAATGCCTGTACTATTTCCACCCTGCAACATTGCCTCTAGACCACAGTTGCCCAGAAATTAGGCAGACTCCCTGGTGGTGCTGGTTAGATTTCTGGATCCCAACCTGATCTAATGAATCAGAATTTCTAAGGCATGGAGCCCAAACTTCTATTTTAATCAGGCATCGTAGGTCAGAGCTTCTCAAACTGAAATATGCTTACGAATTTCCTGGGGTTCATGTTAAAACTCAGACTCTGGTTCAGTAGGTCTGGGCTTGGGTTCAAAAGTCTGCATTTCTAATAAGCTCTCAGGTGATGCTGATGCTGCTGGTCTGAGGACCACACTTTGAGTAGCACTACCTTAAAGTTCAAGATCCACTTCTCCAGACAGAATTTTCCCAATGAGCTGGAAAGTTACACACTGCCCACTGGTAGAATAGACTACAGGCAGTATGTCAGCGCAGTGCACTTTCTTCTCCCTTAGTCTAGAATATACTCTGCAATAGAGGGAGTCTGTACTTCTTAGAAAAGACATGCTAATTGTCTACCGTTGCCCTTACTCCCTGAAGTAGCATGGAAAGTTTCTTTGTTTAAAGGAAATGATAACGAGACTGCAGTGCCTTCTGCCCTGTCTCCTCTGCCTTCTAGACTCCTTCGCCCTTCTTCCCTGGGGTCTCTTTGCATTAGCTCAAGAGTGAGCTGGTGGAGTAACTTATATCCACCTGGATAAACAGCAGGCTCCAAGGACACCTGGCCGCCCTTGGGGATAGCACAATCGGAGGTGTGCAGAGGGCAGCCCAGTATCTTTGCCCCTCCATCTGGCTAGCAGAGGGACATATGTGCCCCGCCACAGGGCAGGACTTTGCTACGGGGGGGCTGGGCCCCTCTCTGAGAAGAATGCACCCCCAGGTCTCGATGCAGGGAAGCAAGACAGATGTGTGTACCAGCCTGATGCAGTGAGAGCTCAAGAGCAAAGACGCACCCCACACAACTGACTACAGGACTGCCTGGTGGTGTATTCCAGGTGCACCAGGGGCAAGTTATCTGACCTCACTGAGCTTTAGATTCCTTAGTACAAACAATAATAGTACCTGCCTTGTTAGGATTGTTATGACGTTAAATGAGATAATGTACATAAAACACTTAGCACAGAGCTATATGCTGGCTCTTTACATTATTATGTGCCCATACTAGCCACTTAAATGCCATTCAATGTGTCCCTTTCCAGAAGGAGGTCGCTGTAGGTGAAATGAAAATGTTTTTTAAAATGTATGTTTGGAAGCGTTCAGGGTATAAATCAATCAATCAAGAAAGATTTGTGGTGGATAATTATAACCCAATATGATCACAGAGATCTGTACAAAGTCCTCTGGGAGCCTGCTAGAGGGTACATTTGACCCTAGCCTGGGAGGTGTAAAAGCTTCATAGAAGAGGTAACATTTGAGCTGGGCATTGCTCGGTGAGTAGGAGTTTGTCACCCAGAGAAGGAAATGATAACCCAAGTTGACAGTTATGTACAAAGGTGTGAAACCTTTAAAGGGAAATTCATGTTTAGTGACTGATGAGAAAGCCGGTGGAACTGGAGACTAAAATATAGAGGAAGAAGTGAGGAGGGATCCACCAGGAAAGGTAGATTGAGCTGAAATTTTCCCACCATTCATGTATTCAGAAAACCTTTATTGCTCACCTAATATGTGTCAAGTGATGTGCTGGGCACTGGGGAAGCCCCAGTGAATGGAATACACATTCCAGCAGGGCGGAGAGACTATAAATACAGAACAAGATATGATCATAGATGATGGAAAGGGCTATGAGGAAAGTAAAGCAAGGTGAGGTGAGGGAGTCCCTGCGTGGTGCAAACGGTTAACACACCCCGCTGCTAACCAAAAGATTGGAGATTTGAGTCCACCCAGGGGTGCCTCAGAAGAAAGGCCTTCTGAAGAATCAGCCATCGATAACCCTGTGGGACACAGGTCTACTCTGACACACGTGGCAGAGTCAGAGTTGACGCCCTGGCAACTGGTTTGGTGGCATCATCAGATTTGTTTTATAGGAAGACGGCTCTTTTGAGAACGGTCAAGAAGAGGCCAAAGTGGAAAAAGACTGGATACAGTTAAGAGCTGTTGCTTTAGGGGTCAGCAAGCTGAGGTTCATTGGCCAAATCTGACCTCTAGTCTGTTTTTGTATGGCCCATGAGCTAAGAATCATTTTTATATTTTTAAAAGGCTTTGAAAAAAGAAGCAGCAGCAGCATATGTGACAGAGAGTGTGTGGGGCAAAAAGCCCAAAATATTTACTATCTAGTCCTTTACAGGAGAAGTTTGCCCACCCCTGGTTTAGACCATCTGCAGTCTTTGGGGGGTGGGCGAGAAGAATGAGGAAGCTCTTCACGTACTAATATGGAATGAACTTCAGTATATGTTGTTAAGTGAACAAGGCAACTTGCCAGATTGTACCCAGTATACTACATTTGTGTGAGAGGGGGAAAAAAGAGAGAAATAACACATAAGCATTCACTTGGGATGCTGTGGAAGAAAATGGTCAGGCTAATTACCGCCAGAACATGGGTCCGTGTGATAGGGAACTGGGGTGGAAGGTAGGACTTTCAATATGGACCCTACATAGCTTTGGAATTTTGAACTAGCTAATTGTATTACCTACTCAATACCAACAATAAAAATAATAATGGGTTAAATTAAAACAGAGGCAGTATGCTTGAGTTGTTAAGAGCAGAGTCTCTGGAGACCTTCTGAGTTCAAATCCCAGTTCTGCCACTTACTAACCATGTGACTGTAGGCAAGTGACTGAATTTCTCTGTTCTCCGTTCTCCTTCTCTGTGAAACAGGGATAATAACAGCACCTATCTCATAGCTTTGCTGTGAGGACCAAATGCTCATACAGCAGTTCTTGGCACACAGTAAGCACTGCATAAAACCAGTTGCCATCAAATTGACTCCGACTCATAGCAACCCTATGTGTGTCAAAGTAGAACTGTACTCCGTTGGGTTTTCAGTGGCTGATTTTTCAGAAGCAGATCGCCAAGCCTTTCTTCCCAGGTACCCCTGGGTGGACTTGAACTTCCACCCTTTCAGCTCTCAGCGGAGCATGTTAACCATTTGTACCACACGCTATAATTTGCAGTACTTAGTAAAACCTATTTTTAAGTGGCCATTGAAATAGCCCAGATGACGAAGTTTTAAACCAAGTATTGGCTGTGACATAGATGACAGTGGCTGGATTGGAGAGCTGTTTCTGAGCCAGAGTTGAGGAAATTTGGTAATAAATTGGTTGTAGTGAGTAAACAAATAAAGGAAGTTGTAGTTTATGCTGCAGTCTCCAGGCTGGACAGCCTGGATCGGATGGGTGAGTTAGGCTATTAACTCCAAAGCCAGAATATAAGACGTGAAATCAAATGCTCAGGCCACCCAAGTGCAGCTTCACAGAAGTGATGCAGTGCTTTTTTACTGTTAGTAATTTCCTTCAAGTTTCATTTTTATTAAGCTACGTGAAGAGCGAGCTGTGCATCCCGGCTTTATTAATGGAAATTGGCCCCTGCACCACACACTTGGCGCTGGCATTCTCCTGAGAGTTAGCCTGCCTCGTGTAATTAACCAACTATTTTAAAACCCATGCTCTTACGAGAGGACTAATTTTACATGAACACCTCACCTCTGAGAGCTTTCTTCAGTACAAACTTTACGCTGGCAGTGAAGAGCATTTTAAAATATTCTCTCTGACAGAGGAAGCCCCTTTGCAAGAACTTTCTTGCATCACTTGTATATTCTGGGGAACCAAGAAATAATTCGACTTTTTAAATGGCTTTAAGCAAATTCAGTTCTCCCAACAACTGCTAATGCAATGCTGTTGGATCTACCATGGAGAATTTACCAACCTTC